AAGGAGCGGGGGTGCTGTGCGTCCCCTAACCACAATCTTAAACAATCCTTAAAGGGGCAATACCTGGAAAGGGAAAGACAGCAAAATGTACCCCCATATTTAAGAAAGAAACAGAAACGAGGCTTAAAAAAAGGGAAGTATTGTGTGAAAAGTCAGGGAAAAGATTATCGGGGGAGGAAGGGTGGAACACTGGAACGGAACAAGTTTAAAAAATGAAACCAGATGGGTTCGGGAAAAAAATCCTGTGTCACAAACCTTCTGGAGTTTTTTGACAAGGTACAAAGAAAGACACGAGAGAGAGGGATGGGTTGTTTGCTTTTTTCCTAGATGGGGAAAGGCCTTTAACACAGTTCCCCAAAAGAGATTATGCAGAATTTGGGGTGGGCGCATTTAACAGGGGGCACTGAAAGGATCAGGGAATCCCTGACAGGGGGGCAACAGGGGTTTTGGGTACGTAAGAGGTATCCAGTGGGCGCCCTGTGACGAGGGGGTCCCCAGGGGGCAGTTCTAGGACCGGGGCATTTTTATAATGCGAGACATATGGAAGGAAAAGACTTGGTGTCCCCTTTCGCAGAGATGTGAAATTTATGAAAGAATTTTAAAACGGGGAAAGGGTGAGGAGGACTGCAAAGGACTGGACAGGTGGAATGTGGTCCAGAAAAATGGTTCTGAATTCAACCCCGCCAAATCAAAGTCATGAAGATTGGGGGGGGGCAAAGAAACCCCAGACAAAGGTAAAGGCTAGGGGACAAAGACACAGACCCACTCAGGGGGGAAAAACCTTGGGGCCCATAACACCGAGACGTCACCGGGGGCACACATCAACCAAAAACTCTGCACATAGGGCGCCTGGGGAAACCTGAGAAAGCGTTCCGATCCTAATAAGGAATGTTAAGACATTACACTGTGTTTTTAGGCCCATATGGAGTATGCAGCCCCAGTCTGGAACCCACACCCGGTCAAGCCGTCAAAAAGTTAGAGAAAGTACAAAGGTTTGCAACAAGGCTAGTCCCAGAGCTCAGGGGAAAATGTCGTACGAGGAAAGGTTGAGGGAAATGGGGACTGAGGGACACTGGAGGACAGAGGGTCGGGGGAGACATGATAACGACATACAAGATACTGCGGGGAATAGAAAAGGTGGACAGAGATAGGATGTTCCAGAGATGGGACACAGAAACAAAGAGTCACAACTGGAAGCTGAAGACTCAGACGAGTCACAGGGACGTTAGAAGTTTTCTTCAGTCTAGAGTCGTCAGGAAGTGGAATAGCCCAGCAAGTGAAGTAGTGGAGGCAGGAACCATACATAGTTTTAAGAAGGGTATGACAAAGCTCAGGAAGCAGAGAGGGAGAGGACCTGGGTAGCGATCAGTGAAGAGGCGGGGCCAGGAGCTGAGTCTCGACCCCTGCAACCTCAACAAGGTGAGTACAACTAGGTGAGTACACACACACAAAACATGCCCCACACACATGCACACACACACACACACACACACCCCAAAACACACACACCACACACCCCACACACACACACACACACACACACCACACACACACACACAAACAGGCCTAGTGTCTAATCGACATTTGGGCTAGGACAAAATGGTAAAATTTAAAACACACACACATACTCAAACACACTCACACACACTCACACACCCCACACACACACACACACACACACACACACAACACACACCACACACACACCTCACAAAACACTCACACACACACACAACACAATACAAACATACATACAAAATACTGAGGGAATTGACAAGGTGGACAAAGACAGGATGTTCCAGAGATTGGACACAGTAACAAGGGGACACAGTTGGAAGCTGAAGACACAGATGAATCACAGGGATGTTAGGAAGTATTTCTTCAGCCACAGAGTAGTCAGTAAGTGGAATAGTTTGGGAAGCGATGTAGTGGAGGCAGGATCCATACATAGCTTTAAGCAGAGGTATGATAAAGCTCACGGCTCAGGGAGAGTGACCTAGTAGCGATCAGTGAAGAGGCGGGGCCAGGAGCTCGGACTCGACCCCCGCAACCTCAACTAGGTGAGTACACACACACACACACACACACACACACACACACCACACACACACACACACACACAGTGGAGAAGCAAGTGATTACATAGCATGAACGCTTCACTCTGGAGGTCCCAAAGTGGTAATTGCATGTGATGTATAACCCACCACAGAACAGCAGGAGGGCAAGGCAAGAGTATGACGAGAGCAATAGAGCGATGACTTTAACCACAAGGAAATCGATTGGGAGAACTTGGAGCCACATGGGGGCCAAGATACATGGAGGGCTAAGATGATGGAGGTGGTACTGGAAAACTTCATGTGCCAACACGTAAGGGACACTACAAAAGAGAGAGGAGAGGATGAACCAGGAAGACTGGACCTAGTATTCACCTTGAGTAGTGCAGATATTGAGGGCATCACATATGAAAGACCCCTTGGGGCCAGCGATCATGTGGTTTTAAGCTTCGAATACACAGTAGAGCTACAAGTGGAGGGGAAAGCAGGAAGACCAGGGCAAATGAAGCCAAACTACAAGAAAGGGGACTACACGGGAATGAGGAACTTCCTGAACGGGGTTCAGTGGGACAGAGAACTGGCAGGGAAGCCAGTTAATGAGATGATGGAATATGTAGCAACAAAATGCAAGGAGACTGAGGAGAGGTTTGTGCCCAAGGGTAACAGGAATAATGAAAAAGCCAGGATGAGCCCATGGTTCACCCAAAGGTGCAGGGAGGCAAAAACCAAGTGTGCATGGGAATGGAAGAAACATAGAAGGCAAAGGACCCAGGAGAATAAGGAGAGCAGTCGTAGAGCCAGAAATGAATATGCACAGATAAGAAGGAAGGCCCAATGACAATATGAAAACAGCATAGCAGCGAAAGCCAAATCTGACCCGAAGCTGTTATACAGCCACATCAGGAGGAAAACAACAGTCAAGGACCAGGTAAGGAGGAGAGACAATAAGAAATGACCATGAAGTATGTGAGAACTCAACAAGAGATTCAAAGAAGTGTTCACAGAGGAGACAGAAGGGGCTCCAGAAAGACGGAGAGGTGGGGTACACCACCATGTGCTGGACACAGTACACACAACCGAGGAAGAAGTGAAGAGGCTTCTGAGTGAGCTAGATACCTCAAAGGCGATGGGACCGGATAACATCTCTACATGGGTTCTGAGAGAGGGAGAAGAGGCGCTATGTGTACCCTTGACAACAATATTCAATACATCTATCGAAACAGGAAGATTGCCTGAGGCATGGAAGACAGCAAATGTAGTCCCAATCTTCAAAAAAGGAGACAGACATGAAGCACTAAACTACAAATCAGTATCACTGACATGTATAGTATACAAAGTCATGAAGAAGATTTTCAGGAGAAGAGTGGTGGAACACCTAGAAAGGAATGATCTCATCAACAGCAGCCAACATGGTTTCAGAGACAGGAAATCCTGTGTCACAAACCTACTGGAGGTCTATGACATGGTGACAGCAGTAAGACAAGAGAGAGAGGGATGGGTGGATTGCATTTTCTTGGACTGCAAGAAGGCGTTTGACACAGTTCCACACAAGAGATTAGTGCAAAAACTGGAGGACCAAGCAGGGATAACAGGGAAGGCACTACAATGAATCAGGGAATGCTTGTCAGGAAGACAGCAGGGAGTCATGGTACGTGGCGAGGTGTCAGAGTGGGCACCTGTGACCAGCGGGGTCCCACAGGGGTCACTCCTAGGACCAGTGCTGTTTCTGGTATTTGTGAACGACATGATGGAAAGAAAATGCTCCGAAATGTCCCTGTTTGCAGATGACGTGAAGTTGATGAGAAGAATTTATTCGATCGAAGACGAGGCAGAACTACAAAGGGACCTGGACAGGCTGCAGACCTGGTCCAGCAATTGGCTCCTGGAGTTCAACTCCACCAAGTGCAAAATCATGAAGATTGGAGAAGGACAGTCTAGGGGGTCAGAGACTACAAACCTCACTCAAGGAAAATGATCTTGGAGTATAATACCGAGCACATTTCCTGAGGTGCACATCAATCAAATAACTGTTGCAGCATCTGGGCGACTAGCAAACCTAAGAATAACTTTCCGACGCTTCAGTAAGAGTCGTTCAGGACTCTGTACACCGTGTACGTCAGGCCAATATTGGAGTATGCAGCACCAGTTTGGATCCCAAACCTCGGTAAACACGTCAGGAAATTAGAGAAAGTGCAAAGGTTTGAAACGAGACTAGTCCCGAAGCTAAGTGGTATATCCTACGAGGAGAGGTTAAGGGAAACTGACCTGATGACAATGGAGGACAGGAGGGACAGGGAGGACATGATAGCAACATATAAAATACTGAAAGGAATCGACAAGGTGGAGAGAGAAAAGATATTTCAGAGATGGGACACAGCAACAAGGTGTCACAATTGGAAATTGAAGACTCTGATGAGTCATAGAGATCTTAGGAAGTATTTCTTCAGTCACAGAATTGTCAGGAAGTGGAATAGTCTGGAAAGTGAGGTGGTGGAGGCAGAATCCATACATAGCTTTAAGACGAGGTATAATAAAGCTCACGGAGCAGGGAGTGAGTGACCTAGTAGCGACCAGTGAAGAGGCGGGGTTAGGAGCTGTGAATCGACCCCTGTAACCACAATTAGGTGAGTACACACACACACACGTTCCCAGGCAGTAATTTTGTTTACCGGACCTGACACTGGTGAAAAGAAGTATTGACGAAATTAGTTGTCTGGAAGCTGAATACTACTAAATCAAGTTAATACTCTCTCTCTCTCTCTCTCTCTCTCTCTCTCTCTCTCTCTCTCTCTCTCTCTCTCTCTCTCTCTTCTCTCTTTCTCTCTCCTTCTCTCTCTCTCTCTCTCTCTCTCTCTCTCTCTCTCTCTCTCTCTCTCTCTCTCTCTCTCTCTCTCTCTCTCTCTCTCTCTCTCTCTCTCTCTCTCTCTCTCTCTCTCACTCACTCACCTGGGCAGCAGAGACGAAGAAAAGTTGACTGGGGTTGAGAGAGAGAGCTGGTAAGCGAGCTTCTGTGTGATGTCTGTCAACCCACCTCTGGTATGCTCTATATGCGTGCCTGATGCCGGCGATGTCTGCCAGATTCTCGTTCAGAGTGGCACTGCTGTCAATCTGCAGGGATAGTAACTCAGGGTCACTCAAGCTCATTCAGAAGTCACTCAGGGTCACTAAACATCATTCATGGTCACTCAGAGTCACTAAACATCATTCATGGTCACAAATGAAAGTCAGGAAAGACGCTTCTTACTCAGCTAACTCACAGTAGGTACAGTTCACACTGAAGACTCAGGGACCGATCTCCTCAAACCCCTCACCTCATAAGAACATAAGAAAGAAGGAACACTGCAGCAGGCCTACTGGCCCATGCGAGGCAGGTCCAAGTCCCCTACCGGCTTAAACCAATACCCCAACCTAGTCAGGTCAGGTCACATTCATTTTAGAAAGGAACACGGCAACTGACCTAGTAGCACAAGCTAATCAGGTCCAACTCACACCCACTCACACCCACTCATGTATTTATCTAACCTATTTTTAAAACTACACAACGTTTTAGCCTCAATAACTGTACTCGGGAGTTTGTTCCACTCATCCACAACTCTATTACCAAACCAGTGATTTCCTATATCCTTCCTGAATCTGAATTTTTCCAACTTAAAACCATTGCTGCGAGTCCTGTCTAGGCTAGATATTTTCAGCACGTTATTTACATCCCCTTTACTTATTCCTGTTTTCCATTTATACACCTCAATCATATCCCCCCTAATTCTACGCCTTTCTAGAGAGTGCAGATTCAGGGACCTCAGTCTATCCTCATAGGGAAGATTTCTGATACATGGGATCAACTTTGTCATCCTCCTTTGTATGTTTTCCAGAGCATTTATATCCGTTCTGTAATACGGTGACCAAAACTGTGCAGCGTAATCTAAATGAGGTCTAACCAAGGATATATAGAGTTGAAGAACAACCTGAGGACTCCTATTATTTATGCTTCTTGATGTGAAGCCAAGGATTCTGTTAGCTTTATTGCGAACACTTATGCACTGTTGTCTTGGTTTCAGATTACTGCTAACCAGAACTCCTAAATCTTTGTCGCAATCCGTAATATTAAGATCTACATTATTTAGTTTATATGTGGCATGGTTATTTTCCTGTCCAACATTTAGAACTTTGCATTTGTCCATATTAAACTGCATCTGCCACTTCTCCGACCACTGCATCAGTCTATTCAAATCTTCCTGGAGTGCTCTAATGTCCTCGTCAGAATGAATTCGACGGCCTATTTTGGTGTCATCGGCAAACTTGCTTATGTCACTCTTTATGTCCTCATCAATGTCGTTTATGTAGATTGTGAACAACAAGGGGCCCAACACTGACCCCTGTGGAACACCGCTAGTGACGCTTCCCCACTCTGATTTCTCCCCATTTATGCAGACTCTCTGCTGCCTATTTGTCAACCATGCCTCTATCCAGGAAAAAAATTCTCTTCCTATTCCATGTGCCTTAATTTTCCTCAATAGTCTCTGATGTGGGACCCTGTCAAAAGCCTTACTTAAGTCCACATACACAATATCATATTCATTACCATGATCTACCTCCTCAAATACCTTAGTGAAAAAATTTAATAAATTCGTAAGGCAGGAACGCCCCTTTGTAAAACCATGCTGAGATTCGTTGATTAATTTGTGCTTTTCAAGGTGGCTACGAACTGCCTCGGCAATTATTGATTCCATAAATTTTCCCACTATGGAGGTTAGGCTTATCGGTCTATAGTTCGAAGCTAAGGACCTGTCACCTGCTTTGAAAATAGGTATCACATTTGCCATTTTCCACTTATCTGGCACCATGCCAGTCTGTAGTGATATATTGAAAAGTTTAGCCAGAGGTTTGCTAAGCTCCTCTTTACATTCCTTTAGAACCCTTGCATACAGTTCATCAGGGCCTGGGGATTTGTTAGGTTTTAATTTATCAATTTGCCTAAGAACCATGTCACTTGTGACCCTAATCGTGCATAGTTTATTATCATCCTGTTCTACGTAATTTATTATTTCTGGAATATCGCTAGTATCTTCCTGAGTAAAAACTGAGAGGAAGTATGTGTTAAAAATTCTACACATTTCCTTATCACTGTCTGTGAGCTGACCCCAGTAACTTTTGAGTGGGCCTATCTTGTCCATGATCTTACTTCTGTATAAACCATTCCACGGGCGGGATTTGAACCCGCGGTCAGAGTCTCAAAACTCCAGACCGTTGCTTTAGCCACTGGACCAGCTAGCCACAATAATATTCGTCCAACTAGGTATATTTCTACACCATAGGAAGGTTAGCTAGCTGGAGATTTGTCTGTAAAAACTTGCATTTGTGGTCACAGTGGTGCCTATGCTAACCTTCCTATGGTGTAGAAATATACCTAGTTGGACGAATCTTATTGTGGCTAGCTGGTCCAGTGGCTAACGCGACGGTCTGGAGTTTTGAGACTCTCTGACCGCGGGTTCAAATTCCGCCCGTGGTATGGTTTGTTTGCAATCGTGTCATTACGATTTCGTGAGTCTTACTTCTGTATACCTGAAAGACTCGTTTTGGGTTAGTCTTCGATTCTCTTGCAACTTTAACCTCATAATCCCTTTTTTGCTTTTCTTATTCCCTTTTTTATTTCTCTCTTTAACTGAATATATTGATTTCTTAATTGCACCTCTCCTCTTTTGATTTGTCTATATATGCCTCTTTTGACCACTGAGATGTTTTAATCTAATGTTCATCCATTTAGGATAATTTTTGCTTGATCTGATTTCCTTATTTGGAACATAAGTTGTCTGAGCAGCTAGAACTATGCCCTGGAAAACGTCATATCGGCAATCATCACCACCTACCTGACCCATAGTCTGGTCATTCCAGTTCAGTCCACCCAAGTAATTTTTCAGTCCTATGAAATCAGACAAGCGGAAGTCAGGGACAGAGACTTGATTGCCATTATTAGGGGAATTCCATGATATATTAAAACTGAGTGATTTGTGATCACTTTCCCCAAGCTCATCATTAACCTCAAGATTATTAATCAGCATTTCCCTGCTGGCAAGAACCAAGTCAAGCAGGTTATTTCCTCTAGTTGGCTCTGTAACAAACTGTTTTAAAAAACAATCCTGAATCATATCAAGAAAGTCACCTGACTCTAAATTTCCTGTCAAATTGATCCAGTCAATATGTCTGTAGTTGAAATCTCCCATTATCACAACATTTTCGTATGTAGATGCCTTACGAATTTCATCCCTTAGAAGTTTACGGCACTCCCTATCAAAATTTGGGGCCCTGTAAATCACACCAAAAATTAGTTTTTCTCGGCCCTCGAGAAGCTGTAACCAAACAGATTCAGTGGCTGATGCTTCTAATTTTATATCTTGTCTAACACAACAATTTAAATTGTCTCTGACATACATCGCTACTACACCACCCTTCCTGTTGTCCCTGTCAGTGTGGAATAATTTACAGCCTTGTATGTGACATTCAGAAGGCATCTTTCTATCTTTCAGATTGAGCTAGGTCTCAGTTATAGCAATGATATCTATGTTTCCTGCACTTGCAATTAATATTAGTTCATCTATCTTATTTCTTACACTCCTGCTATTAGTATAGTAGACCTTAAGGGAGCTAGTTCCTTGCTGCCTTCGACCGTTCTCTACACTGGACTGAAGAAGCCATTGGCTGGCAAAATATTGCCAGAATAAGGATGCCCAGATGTTGCACAACGGTCTCATTTATCAACTTGTCAGGTTTTTAAACCTTTGGCTGTAATATCAGACAAACTACTAGAATGAGTTACTTCTAGTCTCTGCTGGCAAAAAGAAATCAAAGAACACGTGTAAAAAAATTTGCATGTATGTGAAAGGTCGTAAGTTGATCTTCATGTATATAGGAGGACCCCACTTTACAGCACTTTTGCTTTACAGTTCCTCACTTTAAAGCACTTTGATTTACAGTGCCTCGCTTTTACAGAGTTTTTGATTTACAGTGCCTCGCTTTTCAGCACTTTGATTTACAGTGTCTCAATTTAAAGCACTTTGCTTCACAGTGTCTCGCTTTACAGCCCTTTGATTTACAGCACTTTGCTTTACAGTGCCTTGCTTTACAGCACTTTGAGTTACAGTGCCTTGCACTTTCATTTACAGTGCCTCGCTTTTACAGAGTTTTCGATTTACAGTGCCTCACTTCACAGCACTTTGATTTACAGTGTCTCACTTTAAAGCACTTCGCTTTACAGTGCCTTGCTTTACAGCACTTTGCTTTACAGTGCCTTGCTTTACAGCACTTTGCTTTACAGTGCCTTGCTTTACAGCACTTTGCTTTACAGTGCCTTGCTTTACAGAACTTTGCTTTACAGTGCCTTGCTTTACAGAACTTTGATTTACAGTGCCTTGCTTTACAGAACTTTGATTTACAGTGCCTTGCTTTACAGAACTTTGATTTACAGTGCCTTGCTTTACAGAACTTTGCTTTACAGTGCCTTGCTTTAGAGCACTTTGCTTTACAGTGCCTTGCTTTACAGCACTTTGCTTTACAGTGCCTTGCTTTACAGCACTTTGCTTTACAGTGCCTTGCTTTACAGCACTTTGCTTTACAGTGCCTCGCTTTACAGCACTTTGATTTACAGTGCCTTGCTTTACAGAACTTTGCTTTACAGTGCCTTGCTTTACAGCACTTTGATTTACAGTGCCTCGCTTTACAGCACTTTGATTTACAGTGCCTTGCTTTACAGAACTTTGCTTTACAGTGCCTCGCTTTACAGCACTTTGATTTACAGTGCCTCGCTTTACAGAACTTTGCTTTACAGTGCCTTGCTTTACAGCACTTTGATTTACAGTGCCTCGCTTTACAGCACTTTGCTTTACAGTGCCTTGCTTTACAGCACTTTGATTTAAAGAACTTTACAACATTTTGCTTTACAGTGTTTCACTTTAGAGTGTTTCACTTTACAGCACTTCAGTATTCAATTCTTCGTTTTACAGCACTTCACTTTACAGCAGTACCTAACGCACTGTATAAGCGGGGCCTCTCCTGCACTATCACACGGGATGGGTGGGTTGGATATATTGTTATTCTCTCTGCTCAATTTCTCACTACCAAAGGCAGTTAAGCACTTGCTTGTGATTGTCGATAAGGCTACCTACCGTATTTTCCGCCATATAAGGCGCACGAGCATATATGACAAATAAAACGATGTTTGCAAGCAGTTGTAATGCAACGATAGTAAACAACTGCTAAAGTGTAACACAAAGCCAACCCTTGACCCTGATCTTCAGCATATAAGACCTGGGATGATTTTCCTAGAATTTTATGTGGGGAGAAAAGGCGCACCTTATGTGCCGGAAAATACGGTTCTTCTACGAACGTGTTCCCTTCACATAGTGTCAGAAGAGCTACCTGCCCTTCACATAGTGTCAGAAGAGCTACCTGCCCTTCACATAGTGTCAGAAGAGCTACCTGCCCTTCACATAGTGTCAGAAGAGCTACCTGCCCTTCACATTATCAGAAGAGATCCCTGACCTTCAGAGTGTCAGAAGAGATCCCTGACCTTCACAGTGTCAGGAGAGCTCCCTGACCTTCACACAGTGTCAGGAGAGCTCCCTGACCTTCACACAGTGTCAGGAGAGCTCCCTGACCTTCACACAGTGTCAGAAGAGCTCCCTGACCTTCACACAATGTCAAGAGAGCTCCCTGACCTTCACAGAGTGTCAGAAGAGCTCCCTGACCTTCACACAGTGTCAGAAGAGCTCCCTGACCTTCACACAGTGTCAGAAGAGCTCCCTGACCTTCACGCAGTGTCAGGAGAGCTCCCTGACCTTCACAGAGTGTTAGAAGAGCTCCCTGACCTTCAAACAGTGTCAGGAGAGCTCCCTGACCTTCACACAGTGTCAGAAGAGCTCCCTGACCTTCACACAGTGTCAGGAGAGCTCTCTGACCTTCACACAGTGTCAGGAGAGCTCCCTGACCTTCACATAGTGTGAGAAGAGCTCCCTGACCTTCACACAGTGTCAGAAGAGCTCCCTGACACTTCACACAGTGTCAGAAGAGCCCCTGACCTTCACGCATGTCAGGAGAGCTCCCTGACTTTCACGCAGTGTCAGAAGAGCTCCCTGACCTTCACACAGTGTCAGAAGAGCCCCCTGACCTTCACACAGTGTCAGGAGAGCTCCCTGACCTTCACACAGTGTCAGGAGAGCTCCTTGACCTTCACACAGTGTCAGAAGAGCTCCCTGACCTTCACACAGTGTCAGGAGAGCTCCCTGACCTTCACACAGTGTCAGAAGAGCTCCCTGACCTTCACACAGTGTCAGAAGAGCTCCCTGACCTTCACACAGTGTCAGAAGAGCTCCCTGACCTTCACACAGTGTCAGGAGAGCTCCCTAACCTTCACACAGTGTCAGGAGAGCTCCCTAACCTTCACACAGTGTCAGGAGAGCTCCCTGACCTTCACGCAGTATCAGAAGAGCTCCCTGATCTCCACACAGTGTCAGGAGAGCTCCCTGACCTTCACACAGTGTCAGAAGAGCTCCCTGACGTTCACACAGTGTCAGGAGAGCTCCCTGATCTTCACACAGTGTCAGGAGAGCTCCCTGACCTTCTTCTCACCTCCATAGCTATGTTGGTGTCCTCAATAAGAACCTCCTCATAGAAGTTGCTGGAGAGGAGGTTGTGGTAGCACTGTACTGTCTGGTTAAGATGCTGCTTCACTGCATCACTGAAGGGCCTTGTTAGGTGACCCCGGGCGTCGTACAGCACTCCTGGGGGAGGAAAAGGAGAAGTTTACCATCCCTGGGGGAGGAGGAGGAGGAGGGGTTTATCATTCCTGGGGGAGGAGGAGGAGGAGGAGAGGTTTACCATCCCTGGGGGAGGAGGAGAAGATTTTGATCTCCCTGGGGGACAAGGATGGAGGTTGGTTGCTATATATCCAACAACAAAAAAAGGGTTGTTAAGGTGGTACCTGGATGGGAACCACTATCCAAGAATATTTAACCCTTAAATGTAAGAACATAAAAAAGGGGCACTGCAGTGAGCCTACTGGCCCGTGCTAGGCAAGTCCTACTGGCCTAGGCCAGTTAAGTCCAGCTCACACCCACTCATGTATTTGTCTTACCTATTTTTAAAGCTACACAACGCTTTAGCTTTAATTACGCTACTCGGGAGTTTGTTCCACTCATCCACAACTCTATTACCAAACCAGTGTTTTCTTATATTCTTTCTAAATTTATATTTTATCCAACTTGAGCCCAGTGCTGCGAGTCCTGTCTTGGTTAGATATTATTTAGAACGCTATTTATTCCCGTTTATACCCTTGTTGCTGTGTCCCATCTTTGTGATCCATCCTGACAACTCTTTGGTTGATAAATTAGACACATGTGCAACTCTTGGGTATCTTTGTTAGGTAAGACACATATGCAACAGTTAGGTATATTTATTTCGAAACGTTTCGCCACACAGTGGCTTCATCAGTCCATACAAAGGAGAAACTTGAAGAACAGGAGGAGAATGAGGCAATCAGTCCCTCAACCTTGAGTCGATGTGGTCAGTCCATCAATCTTGAATAGAATACGGCATAAGTGCGGAGAAGGAGCTTATAAACCGTTGGTAGGAGAGGTGCAGCAGTCATAGGTGGTGTCACATTTGTTCAATGTGGAAGTAGGTCGTGCCCAAGAATTAGGCAAGCGAAGAATTCCCAAGTATTAAGATCCCAAGAAGTTGCACATCGACTCAAGGTTGAGGGACTGATTACCTCATTCTCCTCCTGTTCTTCAAGATTCTCCTTTGTATGGACTGATGAAGCCACTGTGTGGCGAAACATTTCCTCAATAAAGATACCCAAGAGTTGCACATGTGTCTAATTTATCAACATGTCGGTTCTCTGAACCATTCATCTACAAACTCTATGGTTGAAGAAATACTTCATAACATCCCTCTGACTCATCTGAATCTTTAACTTCCAATTGTGATGTCTTGTTGCTGTGTCTGGAACATCCTGTCTTTGTCCACTTCGTCAATTCCCCGCAGTATTTTATATGTCGTTATCATGTTCCCTCATCCCTCCTGTCCTCCAGTGTCGTCAGGTCGATTTCCCTTAATCTTTCTTTCGTAGGATATTCCCCTTAGCTCCGGGACTAGTCTTGTTGCAAACCTTTGCACTTTCTCTAATTTCTTGACATGCTTGCCCAGGTGTTGGCTCCAAACTGGTGTTGCATTCTCCAATGTTGGTCTAATGTACACGGTGAACAGAGTCTTCAATGATTTCTTACTGAGGTATCGGAACGCTATTCTCAGGTTTGATAGGCGCCCATATGCTGCAGTAATTATCTGGTTGATGTGTACCTCAAGAGATTTGCTCGGAATTATACTCACCCCAAGATCCTTTTTCTTGAGTGAGGTTTGCAGCCTTTGGCCCGCGTTCTTCTTTGCCCTTCCCCGATCTTCATGACTTTGCATTTGGTGGGGTTAAATTCCAGGAGCCAGTTGCTGGACCACGCCTGAAGCCTGTCCAGAGCCCTTTGTAGTTCTATCTGATCTTCATCGGATTTAATTCTCCTCATTAACTTCACATCATCTGCAAACAAGGACATTTCTGAGTCTATCCTCTCCGTCATGTCATTCACATATACTAGAAACAGCACCGGTCCTTGGACTGACCCTTGTGGAATCCCGCTCGTCACAGGCGCCCACTCTGACACCTCGTCACGTACCATGACTCACTGATGCCTTCCAGTTAGGCATTCTCTGATCCATTACAGTGCCTTCCCTGTTATACTTTCCTGGTCCTCCAGGTCTTGCACTAATCTCTTGTGAGGAACTGTGTCGAAAGCCTTCTTGCAGTTCAAGAAAATGCAATCTACCCACCCCTCTTTCTCGTGTCTTACTTCTGTTACCTTGTCATAAAACTCCAGTAGGTTTGTGACACATGATTACCCTTCCCTGAAAGCGTTCTGGCTGTCGTGTATAAGCTTGTACCTTTCTAGGTGCTGCATCATTCACTTTCTGATAATCTCCTCCATGACTTTGCATACTGTACAAATCAGTGCCACTGGTCTGCAGTTTAATGCCTCATGTGTATGCTCACCTATTTGTGGTTGCAAACGGTCGAGACTCAGCTCCTGGCCCTCTGTGTGTGTGTGTGTGTGTGTGTGTGTGTGTGTGTGTGTGTGTGTGTGTGTGTGTGTGTGTGTGTGTGTGTGTGTTGTGTGTGGTGTGTGTGTGTGTGTATGTGTGTGTGTGTGTCTGTCCGTCTGTCTGTGTACTCACCTGTTTATGCTCAACTATTGTTGTTGAAGGGTTCGAGTTATAGCTCCTGGCTCCACTTCTTTACTGATCGCTACTAGGTCCTCTCTCTCCCTCCCCCATGAGCTTTATCATGTCTCGTCTTAAAACTATATATGGTTCCTGCCTCCACTACGTCACTTGCCAGACTATTCCACTTCCTGATAACTCAGTGACTAAAGAAATACTTCTTAACATCCCTTTGACATACCTGAGTCTTCAACTTCCAGTTATGACCCCTTGTGTCTGTGTCCCATCTCTGAAACATCTTGTCTGTATCCACCTTTCCAATTCATGACAGTATTTTGCATATCGTTATCATGTCTCCCCTAACCCTCCTGTCCTTTAGTGTCGTCAGATGTGAGTGTAAGTGAGATAAAGAGAGCGTGAGAGCCTCACCAGTAAAGTCAAGTCCATGGAAGATCTCATGAGCCATGGAGTTAGCAGCAGAGCCATAGTTGAGGTACTCAGGGCTGTCAGCACGGTAAAAGGGAGGCTGGAAGAAAGCTTCAGGAAGCACTGAAAGATAAAACAAAGGTTAGAGTACAGTCAGTCAGTCAAGGTTCAGGTAATCAGTCCTCACCTTCACATCATTACGATATTTAGATACAGAAAAAAATGAATTTGACTTCAAATTAATTTTAATTTTTTTAAAGGGCAAAATTTTTGAATTTAGTTTCACACGGGGTGTGTTGTGCAAACAACAAAGCACCGTGAAATGGTGTGCCTGAACACAAAAAAGCACGTTAGTGCTGTGTTGCTGCAACAACATACCACGTTACTGCCTGTTGATGCAGCAAACTAGCACCGTGTAGTGCCGTGTTGATGCAACAAACAAAGCCCTGTAGCGCTGTGTTCTGCAAAACAACATAGCACAGTGTGCTGTTTGTTCTGCAACAAACATAGCACCCCATACGTTGTGTTTCAGAAAAATATAGCACCGTGTAGCTGCCGTGTTTTCTGCAAAACAACAAGCACCCTGTAGCGTGTTTGCTGCAACACAACATAGCCCGTGTAGCTGCCCTGTTTCTGCACACAACATGACCGTGTGCCCGTTTTTGTGCAATACAACATAGCACCGTTAGTGCCGTGGCTGCAACACAACATGCAAGTGTACTGCCGTGTTTAGCAACACACATGCACCGGTAGTGTTTTGTTGGGCCAAAAAACAACAAGCCCCCTGTGGCGTGTTTATGCAACACAAAATACAACCCGGAGCGCTGTGTTTGCAAAAACAACAGAGCACGGATGCGTATGCTGCAACACAACTAGCACCGTGTAGCCGTGTCTTTCTGCAACACAAATAACACCGTTAGCTGCTGTGTTGCGCAAAAACCAAAAAAGCACCGTTACTCGGTTGCCGCAACACAACAACCACAGTGTAGTGCTGTGTTTGCGGCAACCCCCAAAATCGCACCCGTTGCTGTTTTTGCTGCAAACAAAAACACCGTTAACCCCTTTTTTTTCCAACGCAACATACACCCATAGTTGCGGGGCGCAACCAAAATAGCACTGGTACGTTGTGTTGCGGCAACAAACATAGCACGTTTGCTGACCACAAACGCACCGTGTAAGCTGTTTGTTGCTGCAACGCAACATCACCTTGTGCTGCTGTGTTGCTGCAACACAAATAGCACCGTGTAGCTGTTTTTTGATGCAAAAACCCAAAATAAAAGGTAGCTGTTTTGTTGGGGAAAAAGCAACAAGCACCGTTAGCTGCTGGTTTTCTGCAAAAAAACATAGCACCCTTTAGTGTTTGTTGAAACAACACAACTACCACCGGGGTAGGTGTTTTTGCTGCAAACAACATAGCACCGTGTACTTTGTTTTTGATGCAAACCCCAAAATAGCACCCTGTACGCCGTGTTGACAGACAACAAAACACCGTGTTTCGCTTGGGTTTATGCAAAACAACATATACCAGGTAGTGTTGTTTGACGAAAAACAAATGCACCGTGAGCTGTGTGTTGCCAAACAAACATAGCACCGTTAGCTGTTTTTGTTGCGAAAAACAACTACCACCGTGTAGCTCCCGGTTTAAGCAGCACAAAATAGCACCGGATGCTGTGTTTCGCAACACAACTAGCACATGTAGCTGTTGGTTTCTGCAACAAACATACACCCAGTAGCTGTTGTTTGATCGCACAAAATAGCACCTGTATGCCTTTTTGCAAAACCCAAATGCACCCTGTATCTCCGTGCGATACAAACAACATAGCCCGTGTAGCTGTTGTCTGCTCAACACAAAATAGCAAAGCGTAGCGCCCTGTTGATGCAATCAAAATAGCACCCGGGAGCTGCCGTGTTTTGGGAACACAACTAGCACAATTAGCTCCGGTTTTATGCAAAACAACTAGCACCGTATAGCGTTTTGTTGATGCAAACAAAAAGCACCCGTGTAGTGTGTTTGAATGCAAAAAACATAGCACCGTGTTGTGTTGATGCAACACAACATAGCACCGTTACGCCCTTTGATGCAACACAACAAAACACCGGTGTGCTGTGTTGATGCAACACAACATACCCCACCGTGTAGCTGCCGTGTTAGCAACCAAAAAACCACCCTGTAAGGCCCTGTGGGTGCAACCAAAAAGCCCGTGAGGGGTTTTTTGCTGCTGCAAAAACAACATAGCACCCTGTAGCTGCCGTGTTGATGCAAACACATAGAACCGTGAGCTGCCGTGTTTCTGCAACACAACATGCAAACCCTGTAGCTGCCCTGTTGAAGCAACACAAAAAAGCACCGGCAGTGCTGGTTGTGCAACACAACTACACCGTGTACGCATGTTTGCGCAACACAACATACACCGTGACGACGTTCGCAACACAAATGCACCGTTTTAGCGCCGTGTTATTCAACACAAATAGCACCCCTGTAGCTGTTTGCTGCTGCACACAACAAGCACCGGGTGCTGCCGGGGAGCAAAAACATCACCTATAGCTTTTCCGTGTTTATGCAATACAACATAGCACCCCAGCTCCTGGTTGCTGCAACACAAAATAGCCCGTGAGCGCCGTGTTCTTGCAAACAACATTGCCCGGTACGCCGTGTTTTCTGCAACCAACATAGCACCTGGCTGCCCTGTGAGCAACAAACATAGCCCTGAGCTGCTGTTTTGAGCTACACAACATAGACCGTGTACTGTGGTTAGCAACACAAAATAAAACCCCGGGAGTCTGTGTTGATGCAACACAACAAGCACATGTAGCTGCCGTGTTGATGCAACACAACAAGCCCGTTATTTTTTGGTTGACGCAACACAAAATACACCTGTAGCTGCCGTGTTATTGCAACACAACTAGCACCCTGTAGCTGCTGGGGGTTTTATGCAACCAACAAAGCACCGGTACTGTTGTGATGATCAACACAACATGCACCGTGTGCTGCCTGTTTGGGTGCAACCAACTACCACCCGGTACTGCCTGTTGTGCAAAACCCAACATAGCACCGTGTATTTCCGTTTTGATGCAGAACAACATAGCAAGTGTTTTGCGTTTGATGCAACAAACATAGCACCCTGTGCGCTGTTTGCACACACAACAAGCACCAGTAGCTGTTGTGTTGCGCAAACCCCAAGCACCTTGTAGCTGCCTGTTAGCAGAAAAACAAGCACCGTGGTTTTCTGCTGTGTTGATGCAACAAAATAGCACCTGTTTCTGTTGTTTTGATGCAACAAACATGCATGTGTGGTGTGTTGCTGCAACACAAATAGCACGTTTAGCGCTGTGTTGATAAAACAAAAATACCCGTTAGCTGCTGTGTTGAGCAACCCCATAGACCGTGTAGCGTTATGGGGATGCAACACAACATAGCACCCTTAAACCGCCGTGTTGGGGTGCAGCCAAAAAAAACCGGGTTGCTGCGTGTTGAGCAACACAAAAGTCCGGTAGCGTTTTTTTTGATGCAACCAAAAGTACCCTTTGGCCCGTGTTGCTGCAACACAACATACACCGTTACTTTGTTGCTCCAACACAACATAGCACCGTGTACGCTGTTTGCTGCAAACCCAAAATAGCACCGTGTTCTCTTGTTGCTGCAACACAACATCCCCAGTGTAGCGTTGTGTGCTGCAAACAACTAGCACCGGAGCTTGTGTTGATGCAGCACAAAACATCGTTTGGGGTGCTGGTTCTGCAACACAACATACACCCCTTTGCTGCCGTGTTTTCTGCAACAAACAAGCACCCTGTAGCGCCGTTTGAGCAACACAACATAGCACCGGTTTGCGTTGTTTCTGCAACCCAAAAAGCACCTTTTAGCGCCCTGTTGATGCAATACAACATAGCACCGTGAGCTGCCGTGTTTCTGCAAACAAAATAGCACCCTGTACGCCCTTTGATGCAACACAACATAGCCCGTGACCCTGGGTTGCGCAACGCAACATGACCGGGTAACGCCGTGTTTGCTGCAACACAACATGCCCCCGTTTAGCTGCGTGTTGCTGCAACACAACATAGCCCGTGATCGTGTTTTTGAAACACAAATACACCGTGTACTTTATTTTTTATGCAACATAACATAGCACCGTGAGCTGCTGTGTTTATGCAACACAAAATGCACCGTTGTGCGGTTGACGCAAAAACAACATAACCGTGTAGATGTGTTTATGCAAAAACAACTAGTACCGGTAGTTTGTTTATCAACACAACATAGCCGTGTAGCTGCAAGTTTTCAAAACCCAAATAGCACCGGTAGCGTTTTGTTGATGCAACAAACATAGCACCATACTGCGTGTTGCGCAAAAAAATAGCACCGGACTGTTGTGTTAGCAGACAACATAGCCCCTGTTGCGCTTTTTTTGCGCAACACAAAAAGCACCGGTACTGCCGGTTCTGCCCACAAATGCACCGTGTAGCGCCGTTTTGATGCAACACAACAAGACCGTGCAGGCGTGTTTTTCTGCAAACAACATACAACCGGGGACGCCTGTTGCGCAACACAACAAAAACCGGGAGCGCCGTGTTGCTGCAAACAACATAGCACCCTTTTGTGTGTGGTTTTATGAAAAAACCCAAAAAGGGCCGTGTACTGTTTGTTGATGCAACACAAAAATAGAACCGTTAGTGTGTTTGATCAACACAACTACACCGTGTAGCGCGTGTTGATACAAACAAATAGCACCCTAGCTGCCGTGTTGATCAACACAAATAGCACCGTTAGCTGCTGTGTTGATGCAACAAACTAGCACCGCGTAGCTGCCCTGTTTATGAACAAACACCTGACTCTGTGTTGATGCAAAAAACAAAACACCGTGTAGCTGGTTGATGCAAACAACTAGCACCGGTACCGCCCTGTTGAGCAGCACAACAAAAAACCGTGTTTGCGTGTTTTTGCAACACAACATAGCACCTGTGCTGCTGTGTTGATGCAACCAACAAGCACCGGTAGCTGCGTGTTTTTTGCAACACAAATAGCACCCTGTAGCTGTTGTGTTTCTGCAACACAAACATAGCTCCGTGTAGCTGCTGTGTTGATGCTACACAACATAGCACAGTGTAGCCGTTGTGTTTGCTGCAAC